TGATGAGGGGATCTAAAGAGATCTAAAGATTGAGTAATCAGGAGGTACCACCCACACTTTGACTATAAGCACCCCAACGACGAAGCACGCTACATCACTGCAATTTTCTCGGTTTCTTTTCTCGGTGCCTTGGCCTCCCTCATGGGTTGCTTTTCGACTCAGGATGCTCCGACTACTTGGTTCTATCAGTTCTTGGACGCGTAGAAAACAGCATCAAAATGATGCATTAAGACGAAACCACCTTTGATGCTGCGTGTGGCATTTATTGGTGGCTTTCAGTCCGATTGCGATTCATGCCAAAGTGGGCGGCGAATTGGGGCAAACATGTACCAGGTATATACTCGGTGCTTAACAATGGCGTTAGCTTCAAGACGCATCCGTTTTCCAGGGGAGAAACGAAGAGAGACAGACATTTGTCTCATGAACTGCAGCGTTTGGGCTCCAGCCCCTTGGCCTACGTGGCGGACGAGGCCTGAGAGTGAAGTAGCTCGGGCATCAGGACCTTGTGTGAGCTCCAACCTAGAAGCGATGGCCTCCTACCGATGGCCTCCAGCCTAATAGTAATGGCCTCCAACCTAGAAGCGATGGCCTCCAACCTAATATATATCTATATATAATGAATTGTATTGAACTATGGATTCCCAAAAACACCTTGTTAAGCTCTTGGAAAAAGGCTCTCGTCATCGTGCATGTGTGGACTCAGTGACCAACTCCATCAAACACCTCCAAACAGATGCTTTCCCCTTCACACTGGGAAACTAACACAGTGAAACCAAAGAGAACACTAGGATATACTCACTGGGTTTCCTCGCTTGTCTTCTTTTCTGCTTCGATAGCTATTTCCGGCGCTTTGCTTTCCGCTTTCTTGCTTCACCCGAAAGCCAAGCCTGGCCGAGCCATGCGCTTTGCGCGGTTCGCGCGCTGCCGGAATGCCCATCTCTCGGCGTGGTCCCGGACGATGAACTGCGTGGAGCCCTGGATCAGAATGTGTCCTGCCAAGTTTGTTCAACGGCCAACCGTACAACCTCGAAGACTGTCAACCATGGGCACTTTGGACACCCAAATGAGCTCACAAACAAAGCACATCCCACTGATATGACTTGCATCAATTGTCTTCACACCAAGATTGCGAAGGTCCAAGGCTTCAAATGTTGACAAGAAACGACAATCAGAATAGTTTTAGGACCTTAGGATGTTCTAGGTCTTTTAGGTCCAAGGGGCCCACTCAGTGGCCCACTGAGTTGCTCACTGTGGCTCACTGCGTTCACTCTTCTCCGAGTCCAGCTCCACCGTGGCATCGCCACTGCGCCCCTTCTACGCCTCGCTTCAGAGATCAGGACAGGATCCGGAGAGAGGATGGTGGGTGGAATGTTGTTTTCAAAACAAGACACTCTACAGAATGTTCCTCACAGACCTCCAGGCCGCAGAATGGCTGGCCTGAGCAACGCTTCGGGTGGCTGAGATCAGTTAGTGACAGTTGTTCTTCATGGCTCTCGGCCGCCACGTTTCGAAGTAAACCAATTCGCAGTTTGGTCACATCGCTCACCGAGGTCCTGCTTGGGCTTTGCCATGCAAGGCGAGGCCTCGCTGGAGAATGGCTCAGCGGCCACAGACGTCAGACAGCTCAGAACTCTTTTCCTCATCGCTTGCGTCGGCGTTCATGAAGCCCATGAAGACTCTTCCGAGGCCGTGGCAGCCATTTTGGCTACCATCGTCGAGCTGGATGCCGCCCTTGGCAGCAGTTGGGTTACCTAGTGACCTAGTGATAGAGCTGAAACTGGTGAAGATGAGGGATGATGA